TAATCCGGTAGTGGCCTTTGTACTTCAATTATACCTTTCTGTTTCTTTGATAAGGAAGAAATAACTAACCAAAGAACTATATCAGTTTCTTCCAGAGATCGATTTTGCTTCACCCAAGTAGCCAATCCCTCCCCAACACGTGGATTTTGATTGGGAACTCTCCTCCAGGATACATTTCATCATGCGCAAAAGGTGTGACCCAAAGATTATGTTTCAGAAAAGTAGCTCTTCTTAGGAATTTGGCTTCAGAACCAGCCAATGGCAAACAATTTGAACCAGGCACCAGCTTGTAGCCAGTCAGTTGCCCCGTCCGATTAACATTTCTTGTGTTTCTTATCTACATAACAGTAAACCGAGCAATCAATAAACAAAACTTTATGGGAACAAATGTTCACAACAATGAAAACACAGAAAAAAATAAGTTAGCTCTAAAAATGAATTAACTAAAAAAGAAGAGAAACAAAAATAAGCGCTTCTATAAGCAAGTACATAGCAACTCCAGTGGCACAAGGAAATAATATATATGTACACAAACATATCATGAAGTCTCTCTGAAAATTGTCAGCAAGAAACTAAGTTAAATATCACGGCAAAAGGTTCACCAAGCATATTGTGATGCTTCAACATGCTCAAATTACCATGGATGTTGCCACAAGAGAAATATTGCAATCCTATACACAATAAGAAAAGACTGCAAATAGGCCAGTCTATTTTCTTAGTTCTAATTTGATCTGTTTTCTCAGATTTATTTTAAATGTCCAGTTATATCAGTTATTGCTGTTCTGTACGAGGCAGCATATTTCTGTCATTGTCTTGTAACCTATATAAAGGATTAGTGATAGGTAGAAAGTCCGTTGACGTTTCATGTATTTTTCTTAATCACAAATGGAAAGGTTCTCTTTTAAGAAATCCATATCATTTAGAGATGAAAGAGTTCCCTCTTAATGGTACCTATACCATAACCAGGTTCATTAGGAGAAACTCTTCGATCTCTACAGAAGGGCTCCTCAGAAGAGAATCTTCCAACCACGTGACTAAAAGAAGCACTCAAAACTTCGACTGAATTTTCTCCGAACCTTTGTTCCTTTATTAAGACCATCAAAACAATGACAGAAATAACCTGCCTCCTAGAGAACAGCAACAACCAGAAAAATTTAAAATTTAAGATATATAAACAGATCATCAAATGATATTTTCAATCCGATAGCTTTTTTCCCAGATAATCATACCCAAAAAATTGTGAGTGTAGGGATCTAAAGTCACCGAAAACAATTGGCTCTTACACCATATATTAAATCTCCTTGGTGGGATTTTGTTACAAGTTAGTTGGGAAAGAAGATAAGGGCTCAATAAGAAAAACCTTTTGTCTCTAACCCATAAGTGCTTGTTATCACATTTATCCCTAAGGAAAGACTCTTCAATCTTTTGAGTAAGAAAAATACCCAAAACTTCTGATGGATTTTCTGCCTACTCTTTGTTCCTTCATTAAGACCTTACATGGGTTACAAAATAATGGCAGAAGTAAACTGCCTCCTAAAAAACAGCAAACACTGAAATAACTGAACATTTTAAAGTTATGGAACAAACAAGGAATATAAATCCGATCAGAATGAAAACTGAACATTCTAAGCCGATATTTCTAAATTTGTTCGCATCTGATGCCAAAAAATTCCCACAATGAAAACAATTAAAATTTAGAAACTGCTAATTTATACAAAAAAGGCAGCACAGAGACATTGCATGCTATTTGTTTATCCTTATCCTATTAGTTTTGTTATACAATGGGCAAGGAGGAAAAACATCTTACAATCCAGTGTCGAGCAGTTAAAGGATTACAGTCACGCATTGCTTGTAATTCAGATGTAAGAAGTTCCTCTTCAGCGTAGAAGGCATTATTATGAACATTATTCTTTCCTGGTTCTTCAACTTTAACATTCACCTCAACCACCTGTAGCACCCAAAACAAAGTAAAGATCTCTTGCTGCCCTTCGAAAGTGAAGAGTTAAGGAATTGCATTATCTACAACTGCTACTTAAAAATGGAATCAGGATAAAACACACAGAAAATTCATATAGCTCTTTTAAACTTGCCTGATTATATGCTTCACCTGGTCTGCAATCAACTGCCATGTCCATTCGAGCCACAAAAAAGTGTTGATGAACGGGTGCATATAGTCCTGGTGCGATAGTTGTACCATATTTTCTTGTCTCCCCTGGTGGAAGTGCTCCTAAACTGAGAATCCCCGTGAGCTTAACCTCAGCTTCAATTTTCCCATCCTATAAAACAGAATACTAGATTTTAATTGGTCTATTTTCAAAAAACTTGGTATAGCCTTGCATTGGATGAAAAAACATCCTGATACAGTGAGAGAATGATAAAGCTGAGACCGAAAAGCCCCATTGCCTAACTTAGAATGTCTCTTGACCATTTAAAAGTAAAAACAATCGAGTATAATAAATATCTAACTTTCCCGTTCATGCAGACAAAAGAATCCAACATGCAAATACAAAACCTCTCAGTAAGTTACCTGGTAGAAATGCCAGAAAAATCCATACTCATAGTTGGCCACAGTGCATATAAAAGATACAGTCAACCTCCTAGATCTTCTAACTTCAGCTAAACCTGTTCTCCAGTCTTGATGCTTCCAGAGGATCCCATGATCCTCTTCATGTAAACAAACACAGTTTTCTATCGTTTCAATACCTCCAGTGAAATTGGTGAAATGAGCATCAAAGTACTTGACATAACCCAAACAATCACAACCCTGCAGATCAGAGAGAGAAAATTGACAAACATTTTGATACGATGAAGTGTGAGATCTAAACAGTCCAGGCTTTAACATAAAAAGCACTGATGGAATAACAAACCTTCTTAAGGGAATGCGCATTTTTGCCCAGCCCATCTTCCCCTGCATCAAATGCATTTTTCCTATAGTGTGGATCGTTTGGATCTCCATAAGGAACCACCATCTCAACAAAGCTTAATCTGTGGGCTACAGGCCTCCGACCTCGATTACCATCAACATATGCAACTGAATAAATAACCAAACCCTCACGAGGAGTGAAACCAATGCGAAAATTCCACTGCCAAAAAATATAAATGTGACAAGTAAAACTCAGTATTATCAACGAAGCAACTTAGATAGGTTAGAGTTAGTTATTTTCTCATCTCTAACTCTTATTTCACTTATTTGATTGTAAATTAAAGGTCTTATCTTTTTCTATTTGAACTGTTCTAACGAACAAACTTGATTCAATCAGAATACTCTCAGCAAACACTTTCGATATCAATACTTATAATTTCATAATCAGTTTTTGATCTTAGATGGCCAAAGCCACTAGCTGCGGCACTACAATCCTCACAAATTGTTTTCCCCATTGGCATCTCAGCTGCCACTTAAAGTAACCTCAAATGCTACCCTTCCAAGCATGTTGAATTCACTTGCCTCTCATCTGAATGAAGGCTTGTTGCATAACCTCTTTTTTTTCACAAGAGGCTTGTTACATCAGCAATGACCTGCATGCTCATCATTCTCTTCGCCTTCATCTGCTCCAGCGCTTTCCCATAGTCTATGGCTTTGTCAAAACTATCTGCCTGCCTCTGTTTTTGTGTTCACATTTTCCTTCACTGCTGCCGCTAAAACTTCCTATAAAAGCTTGCCAACACTTTCACCTTATATGCCAACAGATACCATTTCCCATGTCATGCACCTCAAGGAAAAACTTGCCCTTTCTCATGGAACCAAATCAGCTTCTTTTGATCATATGCAATCTTGCCAAAACCAATGTTGATGAACTCAGTATCATTATCCATTTTCTCATGCTCAATGGAGTTGAGCTGATAACTTTGTCAGTTTTAAGGAGTTATATGACAAACTTACGGTAACTATCTCAAGAGAGAGGAATCTCACTAGCCAACTTTGCTCTCCGTTTGAAAAACTGGTCCAAAGGATAAACTCTCTGCCATCCTCAGGAATCTCATGGGGACCATCATAACTCTAATGTTCCTCACTAGTCCAGCTCCTGCTCTTATGGACCTTCCTAGTGCTCTCATGGTGGCTCCTCTTCCCAGCATAGTCAATACATCATTTTCTGCCACAACTATGACCATCCTAGTCACTCAACCAAATCATGCACCCAAGAAAAACCAACTTCCTCACCATTGGGACTAATGGACTCCACTACCTTTCACCATGTTATCTCTAACATTGGACTATCTCTGATGCGGACGTGGGTTCAAAGGCATTAAAGAGAAGCATGAAGAAGATATTAGAATGTCAGCTGGTCCAATCACAAAATTTCAAACCAAAAAGCTAAAACATACATTTCAAGATTTTGTACAAAGATGGATACAACAAAAACTTAACATATGTGAACTATTTAAAAAATCAAAGAAGCCAAAGAAGATCATTAATTTTGTCCTAAGTGTGTGGGCAGAATTTATAATGAATGTTTAAGATCATTTTGATCATTTTTTAGATAATTAAATTATGTCCATGTTTCTTTAAGTCATTTAATACTATGTTCCTCTAGGTCATTTAATATCATATTTTCCTAAGTAATTTAATACCATATTCCCCTATATCATTTGATACCATGTTTCCCTAAATTATTTAATACTATGTTTCTCTATATCATTTAAATTATGTTCATATTTTTGTAGATCATCTAATTATGATCATTTGGCAGAATTTAGGTATTTTCGCCTATAATATCTTCTTTTCACTGTAATATGACACATTTCAATTATTGAATGAATTTCGTTGCCTTTGATAGAATTTTGATAAGTGAAAATTCTTATTCTTCTTATTGCGTCAAGAATTGAATTAACTTATTAAATTATTTTATGGCGTTTATTCATTCTTGCTTCTTTCATCCCAATCACCCAAGTTCTCAATTACAGTTTAGTTGTGAATTTAGTAGGGAAGATTTGTTTAGAATTTTAAGTTATCTATACTAAATATATATATGGGATTCTGGATGTAATCTTTGATTTTAGGGTTCCGCATCAATCTCCATCCACTATTACAATGGATCTAGTAATTAGAGATGTTTACAAATTATATACATGGCAAACTGTCATTAATTCCTCTGACTCTACTTTTACCAAGTCCTTCAATTTCCTTCATGTAAAAGAATGTTATGTCTATTTCTCAATTCTATAACACTAGATAAGTTTCTGTTTAATTAATTCTTTGCATTTTGTTGTGAAGGATTTCAGCACAGAAGCAAATGCTACAAGGCCAAAACAAATTATATTTATATGAATTCCACAAGTAACCTCATGCTATCAAGATTGCTTGTCTTCGTCCAGTCGTTTAGTTATAATTAGCACCTTCCTTGGCCATCTATTTCAGTCTACTCTCCAATTTCCAGCACACTTTTTCTGCACCAATTTCGATAAGAATTCAGTTTCTAACTCCTCTCAAGGCAATAGAAGTGACAAACTTCCATCTGGTTCTTTTACAATGCATAGTTAAATTCCTCCATAGTGTCTTTTTTTAATCATGTACTAGGCACACCATTTATATCCTCTGTAATTTGTGGCTTCTGAAGCAAGATAGATATGATTTAGAATCTCTAAATAGATTAGGAATTATATATATATAGATATTTTTACTTTTAGAACTATGGTAAAATTTTAGAAGTCTGTTGTTATAATTTTTTTTCTATTAATGTTAGTATGTATACTTTTGGAAATTCTCGGGCTATGTTTGGAGAATATTCATAATTTTTGTAGAATTCATTTGTATATATACCTTTAGCTTAACTAGAAGATGATGAAAATGCTTCAAAAATGACTAAAATGATGTTATATGGAGTTTTACTTGGAACAATGTATTCCAAATTCAATTAATTTTGTATAGAATCCATGTAACTTTTTTTTATCATTTTTTGAAGAATATTAACAATCTCCAGATTAAACTAAAAGTGTACATTTTCAGATGAATTGTACAAAACTTTTGGATTTGTTTAGTCCACTCACATTTGGGAAGATTACTTTAGAAGACAGTAGATACTTATTGAATCTTATTTCTTATGGTAGTCTACTTATTCAATGAAATACTATGAGAATTTTCTTAATTTTTCTGGTCGTACGTCAAAATCGAAATCTTAAGACAAGAATTATATAACTTTCAATAATATAAAAGTTGAAAAGCATGATGGCATTAAACTCCTTGGGGTTTTGGCTTAGGTTTCTAGTTAAGAATTATTTATGAAAATGGAAAAGTAGGAAACTTGAGTTATCTAGGAATACTTGTTAAATCTTACTTCATACAGGAGTCTAGTCATTCAATAAATTCCTATGAAAATTTTCTTAATTTTTCTGGTCGTACATCAAAATCAAAACCTTAAGACAAGAATTATATAACTTTCAATAATATAAAAGTTGAAAAGCATGGTGGCATTAAACTCCTTGGGGTTTTGGCTTAAATTTCTGGTTAAGAATTATTTATGAAAATAGAAAAGTAGGAAACATGAGTTATCTAGGAATACTTGTTAAATCTTACTTCATACAGTAGTCTAGTCATTCAATAAATTCCTATGAGAATTTTCTTAATTTTTCTGGTCATGTATCAAAATCAAAACCTTAAGACTGAAGAATTATGTAACAGGCAATAACATAAAAGTTGATAAGCATGGTGGCGCTAAACTCCTTGGGGTTTTGGCTTAGGATTCTAGTTATTATTTAAGAAAATAGAAAAATAGGAAACTCGAGTTATTTAGATAAAATAAATAGAAAATTGAGTTATTTAGAAATAAAATGAAATAGGAAACTATGGCTAAAATAGTGCTTGATTATTTAGAAATAAAATAGAATGTTGTAACAACTCGAAACTAGAAAAAAAATAAATTATAAATTTAAATTCGGAAGCGAAATAATAACGTTAGGGTTCACATTTCTTACACAATAATTCAGAATATCTAATAAGATTACAAGAATAACGTTTCTAAAAGAACAACGAAAAATCAAAGAAATAAATGGATAGTAAACAATTGAACATCTTATTCGCAACCCTCTTATGGATCGAGATCTGAATCTTGGTTCTCTTGATCTTAAATGGTTAATGAAAGAGTGAGCTACATTATCCTAGTAAGAATGTCACACTACTCATCGATATAAAAATGAAAGTTGGTAAAAATAATGAAAATAACTAATTGAGCTCTTAATTTAAGTAAATTCATTTATTATAAATAAAATCATTTATTGTACACTTACCGTAACGAAATTTTCAAAACAAACCTATAGAGACAATAACACAACAATATCATAATCTCATATTAAATTAATCAAAACAACAACTTTCCCTTTTAACCTGCCTACTGGTATCCATGAGGGTTCATATGGATGTCTCCACTACGCGTGAACCCTTATTCAACATTGTCAACTAACCAGCCGTCCCCATACCCCGTCTGGTATGAACGCCAAAAATACGATCTCTCAATACTCTATCTGGTATAAGAGTGAAACGGACCGTCCTCATACCCCATCTGATATGAGCACCAAAATATCATCCCTCAATACCCCGTCCGGTATGAGGGGTGAAACGGGTCATCTCCATACCCCGTCCGGTTTGAGCGCCAAAATATCAATTCTCAATATCCCATCCGGTATGAGGGTTGGTTCACGGTAGGATTCCCTATGCACCCGATCCGTCTACCATCTCTCAGGATATCCAGTAAATCTACTATTCATTTATTCACTTAACCAAACAATTCCTCGTTTACATTTAATTTTCAATTTCACAATTTAACTGTATATCACGCAAAACCAGCAATACATGCATCAAAAAAATACAACTGAATTATCTTACCAAATCTATCATATTGTCATGCATTTAAAACTGTAAAATCAATCAATCAATCAAAACAAGATAAACAGTGATAAATAACCAATTCCGTCTCCATCAGTAACATGTGACTAATTATTTTAAATTGTACAAAATACCAAATTATTTATAATTAAACTTCAATTTCACAACAAAGAATAGAGTGAGTGACTTTTACTCGAATCGATATCCGAAACGCGAAGTTTTCAACGGTGCCTACTGCGGTCCCCGGGTTCTCTAAATTTTTCTTCGGAGATTAAAACACACTCCAAATATCTAGAAGTACCCCAAAAAATTCAAAATCGGTGTTAGAAACCTTTTCCAGCCAATTTTGGGATTCCGGCACGGCGGCACCGCCGCCCACAATAGCGATTTGCCTCAGGCTGGCCGTTTTCAGCCAATTTCGGCCTATTTCGACCGGTTTTATGATCATCTCTGTGAGAAAACACATTAAGGGGCATTGGTTAGCTGAAAAAAGTTGAAAAATAGAAGCTTACCAGCGGCAGGGTTTTCCGGTGCAGTGGCTCCGCCGGCTCACCTTCCCGGTTTGGGGTTTTTCTTCGATCAACCTGTGGGAAACAATATGGTGAATACAATGGTAGAGAAATTGTACGAAATGGGAATCGGGAAGGGCCTCATCGGAGGGGATCTTTGGTTTTTTCCGCGGTGGTGCTGCCAGGCTTTACCCGTGGTTTCTGAGTTATCCACCAGTCCTTTTGCTCCGATTGGGCCATGGGGTGTTCAAAATCAAATTTTGAGCAAATGAAAAAAAAGTTAACCTTTTTTGGTGGTCAGAGGTGGCTCCGGCGCGGCGACGGTCGGCTCCCTTCCCAACGATTGATTCTTCTTCTCCTGAGGGGGAGGGGGGGAGGGGGGGAAGGGGTCTGGCGGGTAGGGTTAGCGTTTAGTATGAAGTGAGGTATTTATATCTCTTTCCTTTTAATCTGGATCACCTATCGCGTTTGATCTGAACCGTACGATTGCGTTTAAAGAGAAAACGAATTTAGGATGTTCATCGCGTTTAATTACGACCGTCCGATCGGGCCTGAGGAAACGGATCCGGATCATCCACACGCGCGGGAACAAATCCGGACCGTCCGATCTCGAGCACACGGATTGCCAGCCTGGCCTCCCTCATGGCGCCGCGTCAGCGTGCCTTACCACCCGGCGCGCTCCGGTTTGTCGAGACTACTGAAACTAAAATTTTCACTTCTTTTTTCCAAAATTGTTTTCAATTTCATCCCCCACCTATTTTTCTTAATTTTCACATTAAATAAAAATTTATAACTTTAAAAATTATATTTTATACATTAATTTTAAATATTTTAAAATTAATTCCGGGTATTACAACTCTCCCCTTTTAAAAGAAATTTGGTCCCTCAAATTTCTCTCTCTTAGTAGAAACAGCCTTGCCTATATATGTAAGTCATCAATAAAATTATAAATTAGAGTATTTAACTCTAGAGATAGAAGGGTTCTCTTTAACAAGTGGAAGTAAAGGAAGGATAAATGAGGAGAAAAAATAACTATAGGGAGTATTATTCGTCTTCCTAGTTTTCGACGCAAGAAAGGGAATTTGATACATACCTTTCTTGTGTCAATCTTCTACCCAAATAGTTTTTGGTCCCATTCGTCAAAGATTCCTATTCTTAGTTTATATATTTTTTTTCAGGTTTATGAGAACCTTTTTTAGATTTTTTTAGATCCGCGTGCCCACGATCAGAAGGTCCAGATTTGTTCTCTCGGGTGTAGACGGTCTGGATCCGTTCCCTCATGCGCGATTATATACAATTAAGTAGTGGACAAATAAAAAAAGAAGAGAGAGAATTTTTTCTGAGAAAATACAACCTCTTCAATGAAATATAAAAAAATGGAAATGTATTTTAACCTAATTAAACCCCACAACAAAATATCACTCCCACAACCATAATATATTGGTAGCAAAGAAGTAATGGAAAATATAGAAAGACTTCCAATAATTATTTGAGGCTTTCCTCAAACTCTACCATGAAGAGCTTACTGCAAACAAATTGAAAGACCAGCACGGCCATGTGGCCAGCAGCAACAACTGCAAGGATTTACAAACCTCTCAGTATAGTGAGGAGGAATTGTCCCATGGTTAGCCAAACTGAAATTTATATGTTTCAATGGGACCATGGACCAACTGGGATCAGAGTGATACCATGACCAGGCAGAGGATATTAAAAAATGCCTAGGTAGCTAAGATGAATATATTGATAACATAAGGTGGCTGAAAGAGAATTATCAGCTGCTTGGTAAATGTTATTGCCAAAAACAACCTGGTTAAGCAACTAACAAAGGCTTAGCTGGTTTGAGACGTTAAAAATGAAGTCACAGAGTGGAAGCAAAAAATTGAGGCTAGACTTCAGCAGAATTCAGCACTTGAAGGTTGGGTTATTTATCTTGTTGGGGCTATCAAGAAATGTGTTTGGCAGCCAAGAAAAGCAAGAGAGGAATAGGACTAAGAAATCCATGAAATCGTGCTTAAGAGGATGCATAAGTAAGAGCCTACTTAGTTTGCACTACAGTACCAAATCTCACAACAGCTTTCACTCCACCTGTACAAAGCACATAGACGACTTCCAAATTTTGAACTTTTTCTTTTTGTTGGCTCTTTACTCTAAACTAACTCCGTTTCTCATGTTAGATGACTGAAGGCAAGCACCTTATGAAGGAGGGATTTAATGTAATGATCAGTAACATAAAAGCAGAAAAGCTTTGTAACATCGGACTCCTGGTTTTGGCTTAGGTTTCTGTTTAAGAATTATTTAGGAAAAACACAAGATACAAAGTTGAGTTATTTATGAATAAACAAAAAAGGAAGATGAATTATTTAAGAATAAAGTTAAAAGAATTGGATATGAAAGGCATCAGTCAGATCCTACAAATTGGGAAACTAGTAGCATTTTTCTTCCCTATATATATAAGCTATTTCAACAAAAAAAAGTTATAAATGAAGAATACTTAGTCCAGAGATTGAAGGGTTCTTTCTAACAACTGATGAGCCCAAAACCTTAATTTTACCTGTTTCAACCTAAATAAACCCATAATAGTTCTCAATTTTGAGACCGTAACAAAAAATTTTATGTAATTTCTAGGTCTTATATCAAAATTCTTAAAGCAGACAAATTGATCCTTCTTACATCAACTTCATAAAAGGTCTAAACTTGAACTTCAAACAAAACACACAAGGAGCAGTGTCTTAGTGCAAGCATCTCAGAAGATTTTTAAGCCTTGAACTTCTGTCACCACAAACACTTTTCTTAACCTTACAATAGGTTAACAAGCCCTAAAATACCAAGATTGACATGTTTCCATGTTATCAAAATTGCAATCTTATCGAGTTACTTTCTAAAAAGGAACCAATAGGTTGTGAAGGGGTATCCCGTATCAAACACCACTCTAGTGGATCAAGATTAGGAAGACCCGAGGTTGCTAAAGTCTCTCAACAACAGCTAGACTCAAGTATTCTAACAGCATATTTCCAGTTGCAAAACCTGCCACAGTTCATGCGGTTCTTCTTTGCCTATTTCTTATGGTCAGTCAATCTCTAATTTGGATGTCAATAATTCATTTTTGCACATTTCCATCTCAGATTTAAGTTTACATGGTACAAACACTCTAATTTTTTCTCCCAATAATTCTGTTATTTTCAGGATTAGTAAGCCCTTTATATTCTCTAGCCCCTATGACTATGGTTATCAAGCTCTAGGGAGCTTTGTAGTGTTGCGATAGCTTCTTCAATTCCACGACAGATGCTTCCTTCTTTATCTACTCCAGCCCCTATGACATTGGTATCAAGCTCTAGGTAGCTTTGTCTTGTCGCAATAGCTTCTTCAATTCCATGACAGATGCTTCCTTCTTTATCTACTCCAACAATGGCAATGTTATTTTATTTCTTGTGTATGTCAATGCTCCAATCGTCACCTGCAATAAAAACCAGGAAATTCACATCTTCGTTGCTTTCCTCTCCAAATCATATTCTATGGATGATCTAGGCAGCTTTTAGTACTTTCTTAGGTTATGTGTCTGAACTTCCTCTGTAATTCATTTCTCAGGTAGCATCAATTAGTCCCGTGATCTTCTCAACTGCATTAAAATATCTAATGCTAAATCTATTGATCCCCTTATGCCTCTCAATCTTCTCTGCAAATCAAGGAGGCACCGCTCCAATTGATGCTTCACAGTACTGCTATTTGCAGTGTAATAAAGCATCCACGATATCTTTTTCTTGAACCAGATCGCGATATTAATGCACAAACCTATTGGAGGATGCTGACATACAATGAAATGTCAGCTTCAATATCTTAAGGCCACTATACAGCAAAGAACCTGTCTTCATAAGTTCAAGGCTCCCTTCATCAATGTAACTCCCAGACTCTGACTAGGAAGCCAGTCATATTGCTCCTTATCCACAACAACCATCATCTTGTACCTTGGTGGTATAATGATCTCTTGGAGCTCGAAAGAAGCAACATAATCTGTAATTGCCTCAGATACTCTCAAATTACTTTGCCTTCGAACTCCCTTCAATGAAATTAAAGTCACACTAGAAGGCAATTTTGTATTTGACACTATTGGAACTGTATCCCTTTTTTCTGGGCCAACCAAACTATTCGCAGTCCTATAAAACTCATATCCACTATCACTTTGTTCATGAACATGTTCAACCAAGGAACTATCTATCCAACATATCTCAACCAAAGTTCAGCAGGTTGAAACTCTAACCAAAACGCAAAACAATCAGTGGCTTCTTCAACAACATTCAGAAATTGGTATCTCTGATGGAAGCCACATCTTTAAAAGGTGTGTAACCAAAATAACTTAGGTTACCATATGTACCTACTCATTTCTAACTCCTATATCGTCATTTAATTGA